AAGGATTGATATTCATAATTAGCTACAATCATCCACATTTAAAATTATTCACATTAGGTCACAAAGTTGAATTAATTCCTTGATTGTAATCTCTTAATAAAATCTTAAGGATCTTGCTAACAAGCGCCCTGGAGCGTTAGATAAGGGATTAATATATTACTTAAAATAATATTAAGTTCGAAATGCATGACAAAATCACGAGCCAATCGGTGTAATTAATGTTAATTTTACTGTAATATTTCTACATTTAGTTCTCTTATCTAACGCCCCAAGGGCGCTTGTTAGCTTTTACCAAATCTTATTAATTGTTAGAATTTCATGATTTGTGATTCAATGATTGTATCTTTTTAATTGAAATTTATTAATTAATGACAATTATTTGAATAGTTAGTGCCAAGTTTTATCCTACCAAATGTGACTGATTTGTCAATGATTAATTTTCATTTTAGTTGTAATTTTAATAAACATTTATTCATCTTTCCATCTAAGCCAATTCAATTGTGAGGTGGACACCAAAGTCATCCCCCTTCCACTTGTATATAATACTATGTACATATTAAATGGATTTACTAAAATAGTAGGAGTACAGTATAAATTTTAAAAGTCATGACAAAAACATGATAATCAGTGTAATAAATAATTATTTATTCTTAATATTCTATTTTTAATTTATTATGCATGAGGTTACATTGTGCTCATTTGCTGTTGTCTCGTGTAGTAAAGACTAGATGCAACATAACATTGATGAGAAGCATATGGATTTAGGAAGTGAATGACCTAAAAAAAGAAATTTTTTTTAATCCTTTGTTGTCTGTAATTTATTTACTTCGCAAGTCAATACGATCTCTTGTCTTTTCTCCAATAATTACTCATAGTTAATCAAAATCAAATTCCTTCTAGTTAGTTTTTTTTTTGGTGTTTATAGAGTCAGAAGGACATGTGATGAGAATCAATCCTAAGATCTCCTAGAATCAGGAGGGGCGCTCTAACCACTTGAGTTATCCCTCACTGTCTTCCTTAACTTCCTAGTTAGTCATTAAGGTAAACATTGAATATAGAAACATAACTGTAATTGTTCCATGCATAAACATCCAAAAAATATCAAGCTTGTGTCCTCGATGTTCATCTATGTTCAGTTCATTTTTTTTTTTACCATATTATTGGTATTCTTTTAAATGAAAGAGAACATGTAGTCATATATAGATAAGAAACTTTTTGAAATATTATTGAAATCGCCAATTCAAATTTTAATTACTTAATTAATATATTGTTCATCATCTTGCCAAGAAGGTTGAATCAATATTCCACACTAGTTTTATGAATTTATTTACTTACGAAACTTTTGAAATTAACAAATTTCCTAAATATTATTATATCGCTAACTTTATTTTCGCATTGAATTATTTCCCTTCATTTTCTCGTATTTTTCTTAAACATTTTGTTTTGATTTTTGTATTTTTGGTGCCTGATCTTATATCCATCCATCTTTTTACACATGATAATTGTTTTTCAATCCATGTATACTGTGAATCAACCAAAAGAATCACTTGAATTGATAACTAGTTGTATGTTGATTTGACACTAATGTGTTTTATCACTTAGCTAGCTTGTAGGTAACTGATATACAATATATCGTGGTGAAAATCAATGTGACAATTGACAAGTTCATAGTTTAAGTATCTTTAATTAGACTATGAAACTCCCCTTCCTCAATCCTCACTCTAACCATCAAAGCTTAAGCAACATATTTTAAGAGACTTGCCAAAATGATTACAACATTAAATGAAACGTGCATACGGATTTGTTTTGTCGTAAGCATGCATGCAAATTAGATACGGCTATTTACTTTATTAGATAATATCCTCATTGCATGTGCAAAAGACAAAAATACAATAAGTATAAATCCAAAATCAAGACATGATATACGTAGTATTTAATCTTATTTAAGATTTTTTGCAAATTTGATGTTTCATAGGCATTATAGTTCTTAATCACGTAAATCATTTGCGCTCTAATTTTGCAAATATCATCTGATCTAACCTGAACCATGCATGAACTCACAATTTTTACGTCTTACCCCCCAAAATATACACAGAAATCGGGAGAGGAAAAAAAAAAAAGAAGGTATCACGGTAAAGATGAGCAGTCATCACTACCTGGGGGATCAAGGTGCCATAATATTTTGCTTATTTGTTTTTCAACATAATAATTTAAGATATACTTTAGTGTATTATCAACACTTTAAAGGATTTGAGAGAAACATTGTGAGTAGATTTGAGATGCTATTCAAAGAAACCTTAACTTAGGGTATACATCAAGACAGTTAAAAACACGGATAGCTATAATGGGATGGGGTGATCCAAGGGACCGTCAATACATAGTTAGAAATATCATGGCTATGAAATTCTACTAAAGTTGAAAAGATTATGGCTAGATTATTATACTAATCGATAACATAATACTAAAACAGACACCAGGAATGGCACGTGTCACTTCCTGGTGCTGTTTTTTCCCTCCAAAACCACATTTTTCTTATTTTTTTTTTCTTTTTTTATTCATCAAATGTTCTTTAAATATATTTACCATATTATTAAAATATAACCTTCCTTTTTGATCACTATATTTTTGTCCAACACTATTATAGATTCACGCCATTTCTCTGTCGATAAATATCTAAAATTATCACCAAAATATTATTACATATATCGCTAATATAATTTTTCAAATTAAATCTTCATATACACTCAAATCAATAATCTATCTATAATTATTGTTGTATACTAAAGGTGAATTAAAATGACACATGTCATCACCATCATTAACAAATTCCCCGCTTAATAATCCTTTCCTTTTTGATTATTTTTGTTGGTTTTAATTTGTTTTATGTAATAACCTATAATTTTTTCTTTGCATATTGCAACATATAATGTATATAAATGATATATTTTCTACTAGGTGTCCAAAGTTTGTGCAAAAATTTCAAACCAAATTTGTTCTCAACAAAAATTTAGTAATACAACTAGATTAGCTCCCGTGCGATGCACGGATATAATATAAATAATTTATAATTGTGTATATTTTCAAGTCATATAATCACTCGATCAAAAAATGTTAAATCTTTGTATTAACATAAACCAAACTATAGAAATTAAAATAACATAAACAAAAGAAAATTCATGTCTACAACACAATTTAGTGGACTTTGTAGTTAGATGGAGTACACATATATACAAGGTTAATACTATTTGCTTTCCTTAAGATTAGCTATATGTTTCATTAAAAAAAAAAAAAAAAAGAATAGCTATATGTACCTTAAGACAAGTACTGTACTATCAATATTTAGCTTTTAAAAATAAATATTTGAGGAGAATAAAAAAAGTTTAGGCGGGAAAAAATTAAAGGAGAAGCTGACATGTGTACAATTTGGAAAAGTGATGATGTCAACGGTTGTTATTTTAGTATTAGTTATAGATACATAATCCTAACTAATCATATAATAATAAAAAAAAAATTATGTAATTTCTCCATGAATACTACTCTTAAATTTATTTATTTATTTTTTTCAAAAAAAACCCTACTACTCGGTAACGATTTTAAAAAATGTTGATTTCAAATCATCAAAAAGTAAAATAAAATCAAATAAATTTTCATAAAATGTTGTGCCGGTGAAAGTCTATCAATAATGCGAAAGGTATATCTATATATGAGTACATTGTACTATGAGGGGTCGTTTGGTTCGCGCAGGGGAATCGGAATGGAATGAATAAAGGGAATGAAAAACCATTCCATGTATTGTGTTGTTTGTTTTAAAAATATAAAGAGAATCATCCCCACCACAACATCACCACCAACACCACCACCACACCACCACCAACACCACCACACACGCCTTTTTCCGTCACTTTCTCACTTCTTCAGCCACCCCACCGCCCAGCCATCACCTTGTCGGAATCCCCCGGAGCCCGTGGCACCTCCCCTCCCCGGAAAACCTTCCCCTAATCCCTTTCACCTTTCCTTCTCCTCTGAACCCTCCAAGCTCATAAACCCTAATTATTCATCATCAATACCCCCCAAATCCCAGAAAACCCCAATTAAGAAATCCAACAAATTCTCGTTTTTCTTCTATTCGAACTTTGCTCAATCGAAACAGGGGAATCGATGGCCGACGAGTGGTCGGGGAAGGTTTTCAAGGGATGGGGGAGGTGCGACAACCTCCGGCAAGAGGTGAGGGAGGTGTAAACAAGGGCAGTGAGTTCCGACGAGGGTTGGGGAAGATTTTTGAGTGAGGTGCGAGCTTACCGGAGGTCGACGAGTGGCGGAGAAGGGACGGCGATGGGCGGGGGAAAAACGGTGAGGTGGCTGGGTGGTGGTTGTGCGGTGGGGGTAAGGTAGAAGGGTGGTGGCTGGTATAGGCACGGTGGTGTAATGCTGGCTAAGGAAAGGGAATGCAAAAGGCTAGGAGGGTGGGGAATGAACTTAGAGGGATTTGGGGGAATGAAGGGGGTAAAAGGGATTAGAAAAGTGGCCTAACAAACAACAACAAAGGGAATGATTCCCGTCGATTCCCATTCCCTTTGTTGAATACCCCAACTAAACGGCCCATGAGTACTAATCTAAAATTTTCACTCTTAATCTTAATGTCTTTAGCAATTAAGATTCAAGGTTCTTTTTAAAAAAAAAATTCATTTACAATATGAGTATTATTTTTTGGTAGATTTAGAAATTACGTGTTTTTTTTTTTGAAGAAAGATTTTGAATTTACATTATGAGTAATTCGTTATAAAATTTTGTATAACCGTCCATGGCACGGGACTTAATCTAGTTTATTTATAATTGGAGCCTCGAACACTTTTATATTATACAATTAACACTAATAAAAATTGAAATAACAGAGTAGGTAAAGGTTGAAATGTTACCTAAAGAAACTCTAAGCGCAATCACAATAAAGAGATTGGAAAACGTAAATAATGGCATAGGGTGGATGTCATAAGTCGGAAATATCATGGTATCCTCATTTGGCTATTACCAACAATTTAGATATATCCGAATGTACAATGTATGTAACAAATCCAAGAGAACATAGAGAAACAGAGTGAGTCAGTTATTACCGACAATTCAGATACACCCAAGTATATAACTACATTAAAAAAAGAGAGAAAGAAACAAAGTGTGTCGGCTATTACCGACGACTCAGCTTACACCAAGATGCATAATTTACACAACACATATTTTTCAAAAGCCACATAGGGACTCGGTAATTATCAACGATCTAGATACACCCGAATGTATAATCAATACCAGCATATATTTTTCAAAAATTCCATAGTAAACCAGTTGTACCAACGATTTAGATACACCCGAATGTATAATTTAAGACTACGGAAATTAAAGCAAAACAGAGCGAGTCGGGAATTCGGGATAGAGGTGCGGGAGACTAGGGGTGTTACAATTCAGACACAAGAAATAACGCTGAAAATGAACTGACAATTTTCAACACTCAACTCTACAATTTACACCTTTCTCTCTCTCTATAAAAGCCCCTTTCAAGCATCAACATCCAGGTGTCCACTGTCGTCTTCCACCTGGACTGCACACTGCACAACACACTTTCTCTCTCCTCTCTCTCTCTCCTCCACCGCCGTCGCCGGCAATGGAGGTTACCACCAACCAAGGTGGCAACCACCATTTCATCCCACCAATTATTCCCATTGACATGTCATCCCTAACTCACTCCGAACTCCACTCACTCTCTCTCCTCTCCTCTTCAACCCCATCAAACGACACCGTTTCCAATTCTGCCGCTAAATTCTACATCAACCCATCTCAAAGTACCCACCAACAAACCTACTCTCTCTCTCCTCACCCTCGCCGCCACCGTTTCTCTCTCCTCAACAAGGAACGTTTCGAATCCAACATGATCGTTTCCTGCCTTAAGAAACGCCTACAATTTGACGATACTACCCCTGATGATGGCCCCCACAAAAGGAACAAGGAGAATGAGAATGCGACGGTTGAGATTGTCAATAGAAATGGGGTGGTGGTCGACTTGGCGGCGCTTGAGGAGAGAGAAAATGATGGCGGGCCATTTGCGGAGGAGTTGAGGAAGATGGCGGAAGGAAGAGTAAAACAGGAGGAATTGTTGGAGGTTTTGGGTGGCATGGAAGGTGATTGGTGTAGTAGAAGGAAGAAAAGAAGGGTGGTTGACGCTTCTTTGTTAGGCGACGCTTTGCCTCTTGGTTGGAAAATTATCGTCGCTTTGCGTCGCAAGGGTGGTCAATTTTTCCCTTATTGTCGTCGTTATCTTAGGTGATTTTCTCTCTCTCACTCTCTTCTTTTTTTTTTTTTTTTTTTTTTTTTTTTTTTTTTTTTTTTGTCATTTCCAATTGCTGAAATTTCGGTTGTAAAATTGTTTAGAAATTTATGTGGTTTGAGTGATTTTTTGCGGAAAATTGACATGCATGAATTATACATTAATCTGTTTTTTTGGGATGTATTATTATGTGTAATTGTGTGTATACTTCTTTATCTTTGTAAAGGTGGTTACAATTACGGATCAAATTTCGTTTATCATCATTGTTACTCTATCGTGGCTTCTTTGTAAAAGAAAAATAAAATTAGCCGTTTTTATTTATTTATTTATTTTATTTTTAAATTAAATAAAATTGATGGAATTTTGATTAAATGGCTAATTTGCTGTTGCTGAATTGTGTGTTACTCTGTAATAATTTTTTTTTTTTTTTTTTTTTTTTTTTTTTTTTTTTTTTTTTGTAATTGCCTTAAGGGGATGTTGGTACTCGTATGAACAATAGAAATGGTGTGGAAAGGAAACAAATAAGAGGGAGGAAAGGATTTATTTAAAATCTACCTTTTTATTTGTTTGGTTTAATTATGGAAAGGAATCACTTAAACCTATCTCTCTTTATTTTTGTTTGAGGAGAGTAATGGTAATTGTTACCTTACGTGGTAGAGAGGTAACAAATAGGTGGAAACCATTACCCTTAGGTAATGGTAATTGTTACCCAAGCCTTCCAACCAAATTTGTGTCCAACCTAAATACTTTTACCAAACATGCTCCCTAGTGAGTGTTATATAAATCATTTAACAATCTATAGTTGCTTGTTTTTTTTTTACTGCTGATGTATTAGTTGGAATTCGGGGTGAGGTGAAGGTTGCATTAGTAGTTTAGCATTGATGTGAACTTTCTTCATTGTTTTCTGAGGTTTACTTTGATTTATCAAAGAATTGTAAAAAGTGGCATAACGAGCTTTTAGTTGCGGGTTTGGGGGGGGGGGGGGGTGTTATTTACACTTGGTTTCTAGGTAAACCAAGGGTATTTTTTTTGCTCATTATGATGATAACAATGGTTAATGCTCATTTAATCATCAAATTAAATGAGCAACCCGGGTGTATATAAGAGTTTCCAGGACTGATTATTGATAATGCGGCTTGAATCACTGTCTGATTCTCATCAATGACATGAAGTCTATAGGCATGCTTTATATGGTCAATTTCAAGCAAGTTTAATTGATAGAATGATCATGTCCATCACATTGTTTGGAATAGTTGGATATTGATCCTATTTAGAAGAAGATTATTGTTTTTTTTTTTTTTTTTTTTAATTTTTCATCATTATCTTATTGCAGTCCAACAGGAGAACAACTTTCATCTTGTAAGGAAGTATCATTGTATCTACAATCTTACTTTGGGATAAATGATGCTAAACTTGTGAGGGACAATAGGGTTGAATCTCAGCAACTTCAAACAGTAGATTCAGTCAATGTAAGTTCTAATCTTCCACAAGCTTGATGTTATATTTATGTTGCTTATTTGAATTAATTGAGTATGCTTCTATCCAACAGCATATGTGCATGATCTCTGAGGATGGCAACTCCATGATGGACCTTTCGAATTCACCTCTACATAGTGCATGTTTACCTATTGAACATGAGACGGATGCTTTGCTTTTGGGCATTGAGAATCTACCAGATGTTCGCATATGTGACTTGTATGAATGTTGCTCATGTAATGTAAGTTTTGATGAAAGGGATAAATATAAGCAGCACATGTTCACGCTTCACCAAAAGACAACAAAGAGATACAGTGTCGATATACATCTGGAAGATAAAGTAATTGTAAAAGATGGAAAAACCGACTGCCAGCATCTGGACGATAAAGTAATTGTTAAAGATGGAAAAACTGACTGCCAGCATCTGGATGATAAAGTAATTGTAAAAGATGGAAAAAGTGACTGCCAGAAGAAGAGGAGACGTAAACTTGGATTATCCGTGTCAGATGGAGTAATAATGAAAGATGGAAAATATGGATGCCAATTTTGTCCTAAAGTATTTGAAGAAAGGCGCCGCTATCTAGGCCATGTAGGAAATCATGTTAAAGGCTCTATCGAAACACCCAAGGATTTACTTGTTCATTTGAATGGCCATGCAAGGGCTCCTTGCATGCGGAGTTTGCCCTCCGGCATCAGCAACCCAAGAGTGGATGCTTTGGTTGAAATTGCTCAAAGTTCAAATCAGCCCAACAATGGTCCAGTGTTTGTGAAAGAGCCTTCCAGTGTTAATAATGTTGATCAGCTTAGTGCGGCTAAGAAGTTGCAACATACTGATCAAATGTCTAAAAGCAACTCTTGCCATGATGAAGTAACTGTAGGAAAACGCTGCCGTAAAGGGAAAACTTTTACTGGAGAGTTGTATCGGTGCAAGATGGTGAGTGGTAAGTTAAGTGCTTGTCCTAATAATACTGTAGGAGAAAATGGTTCTGAGGAAGGTAAACTGTCATCTCAAGGATTGCATCCATCATGCGATAGAGTTCGTAAGATGTCAGTGACTGATGCAGATGCCAATCACTTAGATCCTTCGATAGGTGGTCTTGAAGGGGAGGACATTGGTGAAGACAAAATTTTATCCTTAGAACTAAATCCACAGGGTAAGATGAGAGAAATACTTGGGACTGATGTAGATATCAATGTTCCAGCAACATGTCCTGATGAACGTGAAATAGAAAAGGATGTAAGAAAAGATGAAACTCTGTCTATGAAGATAAATCCACTTGCTAAGATGAGCAAGATGTCCATTGTCGACGGAGAGATAAAGCGGCAATCTTTTATCTGCAATATAGCATCTTCTGAGAAGAATTCTTGCTCTGAAACAACAATGACACCGGCTGCTGAAAGTGGCATTGCTGAAATTGTCAGTTGCAATAATACTGCTGCTGACGATGAGGATTTGCCTAATATCCATCCTTTATGGTGCAATGAGAAATCTTCTGATTATGATTCTTCTGGCAAAAGGACTCAGTTGGATGTACATATGACCGAGCCCAAACATGCGCAAAATTATGACAGTGATCTTGTTACTATTTCTGGTAAAAATCATGCATCGAACTGTACAGCGCCTCAAGTACCAGTGAATTCTTCATCAACATTTGATGAGATATTTGAAAAGGTAATAATCCTGATTATTGATGTCTGTGATCTCCAGCTAATTCTGATATCTCGATCTTCCTAGCCTTGGGAAATGTTAGACTTGCATTGCTGGGTGTATTGCTATCTGGACTTGCTTTTTGTTTTGCATACCTAATGTCTGGCTGCTTCATACTTGCATGTGATGGATTTTGGATCAATAGTAAAATGGATGTCAACTGGTAATTGGTCTGAGACTCTGGAATCTGGGCTATATAAGCTCCAAACGTATCCATTTTGGTCTTTGACATGCATTACATTTTCCATTATGCAATTTACTTGCCATGCTGAGCTCTTTCTCTTCCTGTGGATATGTTGTAATAAATGCTTGCATTGCTTTTTGTTTAGAAAAAGAGACTAATTATGTGTTTTTGTTCTTACCAGCAGGCTGGACAAGATATATGCAGTCTTGATCAGAATCTCGAAAGTGTCAATGGTCTTGAGTACTTGAAGCTGGATGTCATAGAACCTCAGATGTACAAGTACAATGCCATGAGCCGAGAAGATTCCATTTCCTTCTATGATGTATCCATGGATCTGAGAAATAATATAGGGTTAGGACTAGGACTTGATGACCCTCTGAAATCTCAACCAGAATTTCCTCAAGAAATGGCTCGCAGTTGTCTGACTACAACTGTTTGTGTCTGGTGCGGGGTAGAGTTCTCTCATGAGATTGCTGATATTGAACCACAGCCAGACTCAGTTGGTTTCATGTGTCCATCTTGCAGGGCTAAGATCTCGAAGCAATTCAATGAATTGGAAAATAACTTCTCCTTGAGTCCTCAACTGTTTTAACTGATCATCCTTTAATCTAGACCCTTTTTTTTTTCTTTGGTCAACATTGTTTTACAGGTAGTTTCTGTTATAGGCAAGAAACTCTGATTGCTGTTTAGCAAATAAGTTAGCAAGTGCTTTGTAATTGTGTTAGCAAGTGCTTTGTAATTGTGTTAGCAAGTGCTTTGTAATTGGAAGGCAACTTCTTATCAAGTCAAACCCAGGAGAAGTTATCAAGCCTGGTTAGTGGTTAGTATCATTTTGGACATGTTCCAAGTTTATTAGACCTTTTATCAAGGAAGGTATTGAAAGAATTATAGTAGAATGACAATAAGTCTCAAATTTTGATCATCCCAAATCCCTACTAACTGTCATCTTTAATTGTTGGTATATGTGAGCACTGAGCAGATCAATTCAAGGCAATTGATGAAGAGGGCATGCCAATTTACCGGAGGCCATTCAGGGCAAGATGTACATCCATTTCACAGTGGAGTTCCCCGATTCTTTGAACCCTGATCAAGTTGCAGCATTGGAAGCGATCCTTTCTCCTAAGCCATCAATGGCTCTCACAGACATGGAGTTTTTTGTTATTTTAATGTGAAGAGACAACATTTGCATAATGTCAGCGTTGAAGAAGAAATTGAAAGGAAGCAGACACAGGCACAGCAGGAGGCATACGATGAAGATGACAAACCTGCCGGTGGCCATAGGGTCCAGTGTGCTCAACAGTGATCTTATTGATCAGATGGCTACCATTGCATGACTTTGAGTCAATGAATATGTCTCTGAATTTAGTGTTGCTCTTGGAAAACCAATGTCTTAACTTTGTCATGATCTATCATCCTCCTATTCGTGGGAACTTTGAGTTTATTGCTCGGTGTACTGTAGTTGCTGCTTAGGAATTTAGAATACAAGTATGTACTTTAAACAAGTTAATATAGAACTTCAAAGAAATCAAAGCTAATCTTTCTCTCTTCCAGTGTTAAAATTTCCAACTTCTTACTGAACCTAAGCTGCTCTGGAATTGCTGGTGGCCTCAAGTTACTCCATATATTATGATTTTCTTGTATAAATGATATCCTTTACAGCTTTACTCAGCTGTAATAATGCTTCTCTCATTCACATAAATAAATGCACTATTTCTCTTGTTTGTAAATGCCGCTTGGTTATTTTCTATTAATGAAATTCATTTTCTAGCACTATTTCTCAAAGAATGCGAGAACTGTGTAGCTTGTTGCTATAATTCATAATTCGCCATTAAAACACGAGCTGCAAACTAGCATATTCATATAGTCGTATATTGATATAAGTTTAGTTTAGTAAAAATAAGTTCAGTTTAGTAAATTAAATTTAACTTCAGTAAAAATAAATTCAGTTCAATAATATTAAGTTGAAAGAATAGGTCCTTCCTTGCTCCTCTAGTCAATTGCCTCAACAAAGTCACAATTCCAAATTCTTAAAAAAAAAAAAAAAAAAAATCCTAATAGTGAAATCACTTTTGGGCTAATAATCACCACTTCCATTAAATAATAACTGGTAAATTTTTTAAGCTCTAATTTCCTTTATATATTGGAATAAAAAAATATCTTTTAAAAACACCATTTTACGAATAAAAACCTTTTAAAAGTTTTTTTGTTTAAAAAAACTACCAAGTTCACTTTGTTGCAAAAGGAGACGTATTTCCTTAATTACCCTTTAATTAATTTTTATTACACTTTAATTTCCTCAATTTTGTCTAATTAACCTCTTAACTCACCAAATTAATAAATAATCTTACTGGGTAGGTGTAGGCACCAATCATGTTTCATCAAGGCCTTAGCCAGATTTGGACTTAGCTTAATACTGGATTGACTCAGCGCCAGTCAGACTAGTTGGCTCATTTGCTTATTGCAATCTAGTCCTTACGGCTTAGTCCAGTTTTGGCCTACGGAATACTCGTATCTTTTTGCGTTTTTTTTTTTAATTGAGTTAAACAAGTTGAGTACAAAGTTTAAATACTATAACTGCAACAACTGAAAGGTGAGTACCCAATCTGCAGAAAAGCCAAACCGTTTTGTGTATGAACAAAAACCAATTGTGATGGGTTATGATAACTTGTTGGCCTGATGCAAATTAGTGATGCTCCATGTAATATAGCATGTCCCCAAGCAGAGATTGAGAGTTTAGATTCCAAAAATAACGGTCTAGTAATTAACCGGAGACGTTTAATCATTGACTCTGCCAAACCGTTTTGTATATGAACATGTGCTACAGGATGTTCAACATTTATCCCTATAGACATGCAATAATCATCAAAAGCTTGAGAAGTAAATTCACCAGCATTATCAAGATGAATAGTCTTGATAGGAGAATTTGGAAAATGTCCTATTAATTTAATCAACAGAGCTAGTAATCTCGTGAACGCCAGGTTACGAGTTGATAACAAAGATACATGTGACCATCAAGTCGATGCATCGATCAATATCATAGAATATCTAAATGGTACACATGGGGGGTGTATGGCCCACATAAATCCCCTGTATACGTTCCAGAAAATTAATTGATTCATAATTTATCTTAAGTGGTGATGGACGAATTATCAACTTGCCTTCTGAGCAAGCAACACATGAAAAATTATTATGAAGAATCTGCCGGCTCTTCAATAAATGACCACAAGAATTCTCAATTATTTTCACATCATTATTGAACCGGGATGGCCTAACCGGTCATGCCAAACAATGAAGTCATCAGTAAACTTCTGGTTCACAATAGTGTGTGTCTCAATTGCATTGATCTTTGTGTAGTACAAACCGGTAGAAAATGCAGGCAATTTCTCTAAGATACTTTTGTGCCTTGGTTTATATTAGTGATTTGAAGGAATTCATCGTTTCCTTCACTAATTGTCTCAATATTATTGCCATTATTACGAATATCTTTAAAGCTTAGCAAGTTTTTTTGAGACAACAGGGAGTATAATGCATCAATTATTTCAATTTTTGTTCCCCAAGGCAATATTATGTTAACTCTTCCGAAGCCTTCAATTAAATTTATACTACCCGATATAGTACTCACACTAACCTTTTTCAAAATCAATTGAGAGAAATAATTCTTATTTATAAGTATAGTATGAGTAGTTGCACTATCAGCAAGACACAATTGTTCATCATTTATTGTCAATTGAACTTGAGGAGTATTCATACTAGGACGAGATTCATGACTTTTCATCAACAACTCGTTATTTTGTTCAGGCACAAGCAAATAAGATATTAATTTAGAATATTTTTTAAAACCTTTCTCTCGATATTGTGTCTGCAGGACAATATTAGTTGTTGACACTAATAATAATAATGTTGAGGTTGGTTGGATGGGGTAGTGTAGGGTCTATATATGCACCGACAAGACTATAAGATCGAGTTCAGATTTATCTGGAATTCGTATAATCAATATACACCCGACTAAAGCGTTTGGTTTATATCTTAACTGCCGCATATGAACTGCTTTTGTGTGATACAAGGTCATCCGCCTTGAAGAATTTGTGTCGATTTTCCGCATTCACAGTCTTCCAACTTTACAGAATATGAGGAATACAAGCATTTTACAGTCTTCCAACCACTTACAAGTTGAGCTCCAACACTGGCCTACGCCTCTTCCTACTATCCGCCCATCCTAATCATTCTACTTTGCAATTTCTTTAATTTATGTTTAGTTACTGTCTTGCTACTCTTTTATCATTCATAAAAAGATTTATTCTGGGTTTCTGATTTTGAGCTGAGTTTGTTGAAATACTTTGTTTTGAATAGTTTCAGATTTAATCTGGCTTTATGAAATTTTGTGTGTTTGACTGCTTACAGAGATGATAATTCACTGGGTTTAACATAAATTATGTTAAGCTTCTCGATCTGTACATATTTTTTTTTACCTCGGTGGAATTTACATACAAAAGTTTATATACTTATTTCCATTATTATCAATTATGCCACCTACCAAACTGGCTGTTAGTACTCATAACAGTGTACATTAAGATCTCAAAAGAGTAAATCAAGGTCTCCAAGAATCCTAGCATGCAATGGGGACTAGGTGACAGAAAGACCCAAGCTACCTGAGGGCTGAGGTGGTTACCCTTGACTTAATGTCTACAGGTCTGAGGGACAGTCTCGATGAATCACGATAACCATAATATTCTCTTGCCAATGGCTGTCCATGTACTGTCAATGCTGGTGTCACCTTACATATATATATATCTGGAGGCCAAACTAGTAGCAACCTCCACGTAATCTCCGAAAACACTACAAGCCTCCCCACTGTGGGTTTTGATTTGTAAGTACCTCCTTTGGCATAGCCAAGATTGATTGGTGCACATCAGAAGGCATAAGAATATAAGATGGTGTTGCAATTTGGACAGTTAATGCTTATTAAATTAGGTATAATGAGGATGCAGTCAGTGCTTATTAGGTATAATGAGAAATACATGTATCCATTCTCCCTGACAAAATGACGAGGCTTCAAGATGATAAAGATGAACCATATATCCAATAATTATTTAATCAGCTCAATAAAATAAGATGGAATTTAGAATTCATTTCACTATAACCAAAAACAGCTCTACATATTTCAATAAGTTACACAAAAATCTATACTTAGAGGAACGACTTTGACACCAGCAACATGAGCTCTATGATCAAGCTCTTCAGATACTTCAAGGTAATGACACATTAGAACAGTATTTGAACATAAGTTACCATCAAATGTGCCGCATAATTTGCAGGTGGAGAGGTTAAATAAGGCCTTAAAAAGTTGAGCCTATTTTATTCATCAGAGTGAGACCATCTTTTGGCTTTTGTTCGTCAAAAGGAAGGGTACACCATTGTGAATAAAAAGTGTTGAACATTTTCTTTTGGCACTGATACATACGGTATATTGCAGGTGCCACAATATGAATTAACAGCAAGTAAACAATCAGAGCTAAAATTCGATGGATTACACAAAGCTAAGTTTTAGGAGGAGCTGTTACTATTTTTTAACTAATAACATGCTAGTATAACTTTCACCTGGCAGATCATTGCAAAAGGAAATAAACCTTCTGGACACTTGTACTGTAGGATGACAAACTCAACCATACCATGGACTTAAATGGTAAAGTTCTCCTCAATTACTACTGTTACTACAGATACCAATCTTGGTAGAGTCTGGAATATGTTTGTGAGACGGCATAAATCATACAACGTATCGATATGTGACATATCTTCCGGCTGTTTCACTAGGGCGAATAATCTTCACAACTTGTCCACGCTTAAGTCCATAATATCTTGCAACTGGATCATTCATCTGAATTCTTGGTAGCTGAACTCAGGAGCCAAAACACAAGGCAAAGAAAAAAAAATCAGAAGCTACTTCATAACTGAACAAAGGTGAAAATTAGAATATCCAAGGAAGCAAGGCTTTATAAAAACAATAGGGAGAAGGAAAACAATATGGGGTATATTGAAACACTAATATTGTTTCAGAAATGCAGGCTTCATAAAAACCATAAACACTATCAATATATAATTCCAGTTATCTTTTACTAAGTGAGACCAACCAGTTCATGGGTCCTCAAGATGAACCTTTTTACAAATATATTCATATCAAAATATGAAATTGTGACACAAGTGAGTCCATGTATTGAGCTCCATGGTTGTTAAATTTACAAATCTTGAAGTTGAAGGCCTGTAGAAGTTTTGATTCCTCAGCCCAAAATTGTCACTCTCAATCTTAAATTCCAATTATCAATCTAGATTTACGTAGTTTTATTGTCATGCTGTAATTATATAAAGAATCAAGAATTAAGCAACCATACATACTTAAGGACTAAAACAATAAAGAAATATGCAATATATATCACACAGGGTTAAAATTTGTGAATGCTTTACTCACATGCATTTCATGCAAGATTTAGTTCACAGTTTTGCACTATAGCAGCAGCCCAGGAGATAAAAATAGAAAAAAAAATACACTAGCATGAAATGTACTGACCTGAGTTTCCTTGACTGTATACCTTTGGAGCAGGGTCTTCTTTTCTTCATCATTTAGCAATTGATGCTCAGGAACAAGAACATGCTCCTTGATATTAACCAACATCTCTGCCTCCTGAAGCAGAAACATACATGTTACGACATACAGACAAACCGTTTTCATATATTTAGCCCAAACATGAAATCAACAGAAAACTCCACTAGCAGCTTAGTCTCCATAGTGTAACATAAGGATCATCAGATAATCACCGAATGGGTAGACATCCTTACAAGCTATAAAATGAAATGTTATGGCCTTTTAGCATTACAGATAGGACAAAATAAGACATTGTAAACAATGATCCATGCTATCATTCAACAGTGCAACAATGTGCAGTATGGCATATAGTCCTGACTTGACCACTATGAAATTAGCAACAGGTGAGCACATGACTACTTCAGTACAGACAACAGAGCTCGATAAAATTGGAGAATGTATAAAGATGCATTTCATTTATAGATTATTCAAGTACGAACTAGACCAACAAAAGGGTTATATTAACCTGAAAAACCTCCAGGTGGAATTTTGAAGACATTTCACTTATGCAAGTCTTGGCAAAAGGAGTCAGGTTCTGTTGGACCACCAGAATTGCTCTCGGAACATTTTCATTTTTCATAATATTGGCGTAATTCTTTATTGTTTTAACACCAACCTTAGGCTCCTCAGGGAAGAAAACATATATCTGCAACAGAATAAAATCGTCAGCTGATAGTTTTTGGATAAAGGCAGAACAAAGAGAATGTCTGGAAATGCAAGACATATTTGCCATGTAAAATTTATCAATGAAGAACTCGAGGTGTACCTGGTCAGAGCTATCATTTCGTTTGCTTTTTTGGATAGAAAGAGCATCCCTCTTCAAAAACTCACCATATCTACTAATGAACTGCTGCTTTGACATGTTGAGCTCATGATCAGCCACAATATAACCTCTGTCATTCAACATTTGCATTATTGTCCTCTGAATTCTGTATAATCTAGTTATCTCTTCATCTGAGGAAGCCATTTAATTGATATCTGCAAGAAAACAACTCTTAATATCATTTTCCACCATTTAAAGAACAAAAAAAAGGCGGAATAAGTAACTTAATCAAGATCTCATATCAATCAATTTGACACACGAAAGTTCTTACTTGTACCCCTACTGTCGGAGAGCTTTCAATTACATACAAAGTCCAATTATTGACCCAAAAGGTCAAAATTCATGATAATCTAATTAGTCTGGCAAGAATGCTAATGACTTTAATTTGAGATTTTGAATTCAAAGTTCAGTAGCATGAGCTCTTGGCAACTACACTGTATAGTCATTGTTTTAATTCAATGAACATCGGACAACACGAAAAAGACCAAAGATTACTATCCCCAGGCTTAAAGAATTCATCTTGAGCTCAAACACTGCTTGTTGAGCTCATAGTGAAAAGAAAACCCATGAACAGAAATCACAACAAGGCCCGTCCCTAAGCCCAAGGAGAAGAGGTCTGATTTCATAGTTAATCCTAGAATTAAAGGTTCCTGCATATATTAGCAGCCAAATTTGGTTCAATTATCAATAAGGCTCGAAAAAATACATACTTTTAGCGATATTTGATTCAATTATCAATTAGGTTCATAATTTGATCTTTCATAATCATAATCTTAGTAATTAAAACCAATAGCTAAGATTTTCGTTAAACCCTAAACTTACTACACAGACAATTAAATTAAACTAAATCAAAGATAAACCCTAGATTGTGAAATTGATATGATAATTACTAAAAGAAACAGAAACTTACCTTAGAATCTGCTTCAATGGGGGATACAAGTATTAGAAGGCGCCTCAATGAAGAACGTCAAGTGCGCTTGGAAAAGGAGAGAGAGGGGTAGGAAGAGGAGTAGGATTTTTTTTCTTCTTATACAATTAGAGCAATTCAATACTTTGGAGCCCTTTATAAACCCTGGTACACCCCAATTATAAAAGTCTGATCCGTCCAATAAATGAAATAAAATATTGCAAAATATTTTCCTTCAAAAAAAAAAGTTAGAAAAGATTTAATGTATCCTTTCAAATATATATTGATACCATAAACTTTTTAACCTAATTTTTTTTTTTTTTTAAAATATCTATATAGGAAAGAAATATTATACATAAATAAAATATTACAAAAGATTTTCCTTCAAAAAAAAAAAAAGATTAGAAAAGATTTAATGTATCCTTCCAAATATATATTGATACCATAAACTTTTTAACCTAACTTATGACATATGTAGAGTTACGTACTATTTTAACATTAATAAAAACAAGGATTTTTTTGAATTTTTTTTTTTTTTTTTTTTTTTTTTGTATTTATTCATGTATGAAAAGCTTGCCAAGAAAGATATGAAAAAATATTTTAAGTCAGTTGATTATTGAGGGAAAAAAATACAACATACGTAAGAGAGAATGAATAATAGTTTGCAAAAAAGAAATCTATTTATAAGTTACATACATATTGATGATATATATATATATACGCGTTTTAAAGTATTTTTTTTTTGCTAATAATAGACTTTCATAATAAATTCATTTTACAAATTAATAACTTAGCCAGATTTAATTTCTTATAATTAAATATAATGTTATTTAAAGAATAGTTATTGAAAATTATCATGCATGACACGGGACCTAACCTAGTACCTTATAAGAGTCTGACGTATAGTTATCAACGGAATATTTTGGCCAATAATATCTTTAATTAGCAATAAGTTTACATATAATATTTTGATATTTGATGATATTTGAAACCTATACATTAAGACGAATATAAGAATTATACATATGACTATATTTGATCTGAAACACTGGTCAAGGTAGTACTCGTGAATAGTGGAAAATTAAAAAATAAGGCACTTATTAACAAATGAAAGGAGTAGCACCCAAATGTAAGATTATATGACTTTTCCAAATTACCTAGCCTACTAACCCGAGTAAAATTGACTTAATATAGTTTTAATTAATAGGGTCTTTAATTTACTAACAAAGGTATTAAAAAATATTGTATAAAAAGACAAATCAAGACACTAAGGGTTCATTTTGGTATCGCGTGGTTTCTTTTTTTGGTTTTTAATTTTTCAAAATCATATTGTATGATGTATATCATACGAAGTATAATGAATAAAAAATTGGTCAAATATATTAAAATCATGATAATTTTAAAAACTGACAACAGATTAGAAATACCTATTTTTTGTTTTTAAAAAAATCACGAAAACATAAAATAAAAAAACGATGCCAATGTAACTAATATTTCTGTTTCGTAATATTTGCAACAAATAAATATTTTATGTCTTGCGAAATACAATTTTGTTTCAATTAATAAGATACAGAGATATATAAAATATTTATAAAAAAAATTTCGAAAATTTGTAAAATTAAAGTTGGTATGTCCGACTGGTTATGTCAACAGACTTGAAATCTGTTGAGTTTCGCCCGCGCAGGTTCAAACCCTACTGTCGACGAATTTTCATTTACTCCGTATTATTTTTGTTTCCCTAAATAATCCAAACCACTGCAATGAATCTGCTGAAATTGACAATGTCGAACCCAAAATTAAAACTTTTGATGATTTCATCTCATCGCATCTCTTGGGTCACCATCAGGTAGATTTTTCATGCTCAATTATTTTGAAAAATTCATATGTTTATTTTGTATATTTTACTAATTTAAGCATACTTTATTTCTGTGTATGAATATATGGGGGAAAAGTGATGTAATTATGGGTGTTTTTTTCTAAAGTTTGATTCTTAATTAATGGTTGCTACTTGCTAGCAGGAAGAATCGTACTATGGGTGTTTGAAAAGAAAAAAATTAATCAATTTTCTGAAACCCAAAAGTCAGAAAAGAAATTATTGATTCTTTGATTCTGATTTTTGAATTTTTAGGCTTTTGATAACTGTGAACTTTGAATTTGCAATTTTTGGAATTTAAAGTGATTTAATTTCAATTTGTGGGTCAAATTTAAGCTAAAAATTGCTGGGGTCTTAAAATTTATACTGATGGTATAAAAGTAGTCTTGATTTAGTTAAAAATTATTACCCTTTTGATTAGTACTGATATTCTATGTATTGTGATGCATATTCTGGTTAGGCCAGGTGTAAGACTATGTACATTTGGTCAATTGGATCTCGAAAGATGCTGTTAGTAAAGCGCGTTGTAGTTGTAATTTGTAATACAGTAGTGTGGTGATAGCTATGCTACAATTTAGCTTGTTAATGCTGATCATATCGTAATGGGTGATTATATGTATATTTGTTTCACAATGTAGCAATTTGCAAGTGGTAGCTCTACCCTTTCTGTTCATTATCCTTCTGACTGGATTTTATTATGTAAATGATTAATTTCATAAGCTGCAGACATTTCATGATTCAATGAGAAAAACTATTGTAAGGTTGTTAGAATTAATCACAGTTCCTATATGAGAGCCTATTTTATTTAACCCCGGGTTAGGTACTAGGAAGGGGAAAGTGAGGAGGTGGTGGGGGTGGGTGGGGGTGGGGGGGGGGGATGGTTGAGAGAGTATAGTAAGTTGGCGGAGCTTGAATTATGATTAGCTGATTTTGTCGTTGAAGTTTATTGTTGTGCTGTAGATGACACTTTTACCAATGTTCAAAAATTACCCTTCTATTGCCTATTGCACTGTATATAGTCAGTGCAATGGAATATTGATGGAATGGAAGTTCACATTAGTTTCTGTAATGCTTGCATAATTATAATTTAAATGCATGTTGTTTGTGCAATGTTGCACATGATTGGTTCGAAAAAGGTTCTTTATACTATTTGAAAGTATCAAGTGAGATCTGGAGGGCCAGGAAAATATAACATGCCTCTTTACTTTGATTAGGTTTTTTTTAAACATTGCGTTGTTTCTTTATGCTGCAGGTCTTTCTATAAGTGGGTATCAAAGACCTTAGAACTGGAAACCTCCATGGGCTGGAGACAGAGTGGAGCATCTGATCCGAGCGACTTTATAAAGTACTGCTCCTTCGTTAGAATACCTGCAGAAAAAAAGTATGGTGGTGGTACAAATCGAATAACGCTGCCATTTTCCATGTCATGTGTATAATAAGCAAGGAAAAGAGTGGGATATAACATCTAATCATGTCTATTTTGACAAAATGGCTATCCAAATTTTCGAGTGAAAGCATAATGCCAGAGGTATGCCAAGTCATGATCGGTTTTGAAGTTAAGATTCGATAATAGTTCCTCATTTTTGTTCTTCAAATCATATGGCATATGGCATATCTTGGCCATCATTAGTCATTGCTTGTGCTTCCTAGCTAAAAATGAATAGGATAATCCAGTGTGGATATTGTAGGTTAGAACATTTTACCACCAAAAGGGCTGGTATTGTTTGTTGCTCAAGATGCCATACCATAATTCCTATACAAACATGTGAAGTCACAAACTATACTAATATTCTGAAGAACAGAACTTGGAAAGATGCTCAGCTGCAAAAGATCAAAAGTTCTAGTCTGAACCTTGGCACTTATAGAAATGGCAACCTTGGAAGCACTTCAGGATCATCTGAATATAAGGCTCTAGCAAGCCAATGGCCAAAAGCTTCTTTTACAATATTAAATGCATGCCCTAGAGGTACCTCTGCAGCAAGAATTGGGAAACGAGCATTAATCTGTGGCGTGAGCTACAAGAAGCAGAAACACAAGCTGAGAGGAACTCTCACTGATGTCTACAATATAAAGCAGCTTCTTTTGAATCGATATCATTTTCCTGAGCATTCAATTAGAGTCCTTACAGGTAATTTGAAATTATTATTCCATAATATTGTTCACGAAAGGCTTACTCTTTCAGGCAACACTCTCAGATAGAGACAATGAATTCGTGCCTTGTTTGATTGCTATACTATAAGAATCAGTTAACAATAAATATGCAGATATTTGATCAAAGGAACAGGTAAGCTATTCAATTTCATTTTCATTCTAGGTTGGTTGTTTGGGGGGTTGGGGGGGGGGGGGGGGTGGTTGAAGTAGCAACCTGATTCGGTGAAGAGGATGTGAAGTGCAAATTCTGTGGGCATGACAAATAATTGTAATGGTAACTACTCATAAAGCTTTAACACCATGTTTTGATTCAATTTCATTTTCGGGTTCCCTTGTCTTGCTTACATACACCACAATGAGGATTATATTATGAAACATGCCTGTGCATAACTCTAGATGTTTTAGTCAGTGAGAATGTTTTTTCCCTGTACAAAATGCATATAGGGTACATTAAAAGAAGTTACAGACCTATAGGGTTCTTACTGATGATTTTCTGGTCAAAAGCAGAGCTTCAATTTGAATAGCTGACTGATTATTGGTGCTATCATTAAATTAGAGGAAAATGATCTTGATCGAGTGCCTACTAAAGCAAACATGGAAGAAAGCTTGAGATGGCTTGTTGAAGGAAGCAAACCAGGGGATTCCCTGGTATTTTATTTCTCTGGACATGGTTTGCGTCAACGTGATTTTGACAATGATGAGCTTGATGGATTTGATGAAACACTGTGCCCTGTTGACTTCAAGACTGAAGGAATGATCTTTGACAATGATATCAACACCATGATAGTTAAACCTCTAATCAAGGGGGTAACACTCCATGCAATCGTTGATGCTTGTCATAGTGGAACCATCCTTGATCTCGAGTACTTGTATGATCTGACTGGGTAAGAATCTAACATCTACTCCCAAGTCCCACCGCTGATGATACTTATGTTAATCTTACCTCATATACAGTAGTGTATATACTTGTGCTCAGCTTTGGAGTTTGTATCACATATTTGAACTTCCTAGGTAAAGGAAATGCTTTGAGAGCAACTTCAATTTGCAAAATAACTTACGTTTTCAGCTGATTGCTGATCCCTGTCTAAGGTCTAGATAGAAATTGAATGTAAATTGGTATTTAAGTT